GTGTGGCGGTATCGGATCGGCCAGTTACCACTGTGAAGTAAATCATCCGATACCGTAATTTCGTCCAGTATCGGCCCGATACCGATACCCAGTATCGGATCGGCGCATCTCTAGTTTATACATAGACTAATAACACAAATCTTTTTAATGTGTTGTATTTTTTATTAATAAGGATTACATTACGAATGTAAATAGTCCTTGAAAATTACACCATCACTATAGTGAAGTACAACCAAGCTGTTTTTGCACTAATCTAAATGATGTGTAGAAGTTGATTGCTATTTATTTCTAGAACTTTCTTTGATTTAAAATACAAAGCAGTTAAATGTATATTTCTGTCTCTAAAATGAACAGTTCTGCAGTGCTTCTGTGAAGTTTGAACTGGAATTTGCCTTGTTTCAGACTTACCTTCTAAGTCTACCGTCTTATTTTAGACCAATTTGGACTTTGCATTAGATGAGCTTTTGGAAAAGGATTTTGTTTTGGACTTTGTGTTGAAATGGTTTCGGACTGGTTTTAGACCAGCTTGTGACCTTGAACTTGTCTTAGAGCAGTGTTAAACTGGCTTCAGATTTTGTTTAGGACCATTTATAGGTTAGTTCTAAGCTGCTTTGAAATGTTTTGCACTTGCTTTTGCTCTTGTTTTCGACCAGTGTCAGATTTTACCAGTCCAGGTATTGTTTTAACCCTGTGTTTCTGTCATGGTGGCAAATCTGGTCCTAGAGACACCTGCTGTCACAATAACTATTATAAATGTGGATTTGAGCACATTGGCAGCTGCTACGTGTGTTTTTCTATCTGGGAACAGAATTTGTCCACACTAGAGCATCACAACTGTGCAAGATACAGTCATAAAACTGTACATGTGTGCACTTGGGATTAAATGCAAAGATAGGTGTTTTGATTCATGAGGACTGAGTAGTTGTGTATCTAGACATCACCTTACAAGCATGACTGAAACTTTGTGTAGAAGCACAGCTACTCTGTTTGAAATGAAAATGCTAACTCACTGGATGCTCTATTCTCATCTACAGTTGGAGCATCATCCTGGTTTGACCACATCAGGGTGTGGCACTCAAACAAAGACAACTACAACATCCTCTTCCTCACCTATGAGGACATGGTTTTGGTGAGATGTTTTTCCCCCTCTCAAGTTGTTCAGTTAAAATTCTTCCAGTCAGTTATTTATAAGAGTCTAAGGTCTCTTCTGTGTTGGTTTTGTTTTAGGACCTGA